GAAAACTGTGAGATGAAATCTAGATGACGAATTTCACGGGACGAGTATCGGCCGGGAAAGGCCTCCAGTGCAAAAACGAGTGGCTTGTGATCTGTCAGAACGACAAATTCGCGACCCTCGAGGAAATTTCGGAAGTGCCGGATGGATAAGTAGACGGCGAGGATTTCTCGGCCGAAGGCACTGTAGCGGGTCTCCCCTGGCTGAGCTTCTTCGAGAAGAAAGCCAGAGGCTGTAGAACACCACTAACAGTTTTCTGAAGTGATGCACCAACAGCAGTGTTGGAAGCAGCTGTCATGAGAGCTAGTTGGACATCAGCGCGGGGGTGGGCAAGCACTGTTGCGCTCGCAAGTGCGGCCTTGACGGCCTCCTCAGCAAACCATGGCTCTCGCAGCCTGGTATGCGCTGGCAGTTCTCTGACACCTGATCCCACTTCCGCTGGGTTTACAGGTGGTGGGCATGGCTCCCCAGTCCTCATCCCCGTCCTTCTGACCCCTGTTGGGGTGTTGTTTTTGTTGGTGGTGGTGGTGGTGGTGGTGGCGGCGGCGGCGGCGGCGGCGGTGGTGGTGGTGGTGACACACCTATGTGCGGGTCCGGCCATGCCGGCCACCTGCGGCCTCCCCCGACTCCGGTCATTTGGATTCTGTCTTGACGCCGGGTCCAGGTGGGGGAGGAGGAGAGATTGCGGTAGTTGCAGCGCAGATTTACTATCTATATAAACTAATTCACGCGCATGTCACCGTCCTTGCTCCACCTTGTTGTGGGGCGCACGGTGGACATCGTCGGAATCGGCGGTCGAAATGTCATAAATACTAAGTAGGCGTTCGGTGTGTTTATATTAAGGGCCCACCTTGGCCGAACTGTCGTGTACATCATGAGCTGCTGCTTATTGCAGGAATCTTCCTCCAGCCCTCATTGAGTAGTGAGCAAAAATTTCGAGGGTCGCCGACCTCTGAGGTTTTCTGCGTGGAAACTGCTCCTTCAAGTGGCTTATTTGTGCAGTCCTTTATGACCGGCTATTTTGCATATTTGCGGCGTTACTAAGAGGAGCCATCTTTGGGAAGTCGGTCGCAGGCCACCTGAAAAGTCAACTGTATCTGCTAGTTAAACACGGCTTCACCATACTACTGAACATCATATGGGAAAGTAGATAGACAGGGCTGAAGTTCTGTCCAAGTGCCCTTCCATTCTTGCATACATTAGAAGGTCATTGACTAGTACGCATGAAGTAAGCACTCGGTTGCCTGTTCCAAATGAAACCACTGAATTAGGCACACGAAGCGCGTCGATTCCAAAGCGCGCCGTAGAGGAACTAATCGAGATACTCAATAAAGACCTAGTTAATGATGTCACTTGACACTTTTTGTGGTTAGATGTGATTATGTAGCCGCACCTGAAGTAACCAAACCCCAGCCGGCTGCAATACGGGACCGGTGGTAATAGGGGTTTTTACAGGTGGGGGCGGGGAACTCACAGACGACGAGGTCAAGTAATTGTATACAAAAGAAAAGCTATTGGGAACGCGGGGTTGTACTTTAAGTGGTTGAGAAATAGTTGCCCTAACCCCTTACCCTAGCCCCTAACACTGAATATAGCCCCGACCCTAACCCCTAACCCTGACCGTAGCCCCTAACCCTGACCCTTAACCACAGCCCTAAGTCTTAACCCTGAAACATCAAACGCGGAAGTTAGAAGGAGACGATAGGCTGGAAGTTAGAAAGGACCACCGATATCGGATCAAAAAGGTAGACGCGGCGACAAAGAAACAAGACCGCCAAAAGAACACACACCGCAACGCACACCAACACCTTACCAACGTAATCACACCAACTCAAAATACTTAAGTAGGTCAACAGTATTGTGTTCATCAGGTGCAACCACATAACTACATCTTACTCTTTTCGTTACAAGCGAGTCTCAACACCGCCTAGTTTGTTAACTCTTGACCGTTGTCTCCTCTAACATTTTGGTTCTTTGGAGCCTACGTACCAGGCCGTGGTATAAACAATCAATTAACTCGCTGTTCATGGGTGTGGAGCCACAATAACGGCGAGGTGATTGGTGAACCACCCCCCCCCCCTGTGTCGCAAATGCTTATTCGTCAGGTCCTGCACAACTGTTTGATTCACAAGGGTCTTACCACTACCGCTACAAGTGGACGCGCCGACTAGTCAACAGTTTGCAAACAGGTGGTCCACAAGTGTTTACAGGATCGTCTAAGTTCCTGGGAGCGACTTCATTTGGCTCTTTTGTGCCGCTCGCAGACATAAGAACAATTAGTAATGCACACATGAACGTGACTTGTTTTTGGACTCAGGTGTGTCCAGCCCCCACCCACACCCCTTGTGGGGGCTTAAGTGTCAAACATGTAAGATTGTGCTCTAGTCGGATTATCTTGCAGATTGTAGGGGTCATTTCTTGTTTCTTTCTCACCTCCGCACAATCTTGGTCCTTTCTCGAACACAATGGATATTATGAAGTGGGTTTATCTCCAAACCGCCTTCCTTTCGCTACAGACAAGACCATTAGCAAAAGTCATTCTCGTGACAAGTAAGTTGACTAGCTAGATGAGCAGTGATTAGAGTTCCCTAAGGCATAGGAGACAGAGGCTTCTGAATACATGTACCGAGGAACGAATCATATCAGCTGGGAGGGGCATCCGACGTGTCAGTAAGAAAATTAGGTAGGACGCAAGAATGGGCATCACTCTTCCCGACCCTCACCCCCACCCCCGTAATACAGGTGACATTGAGGTAAATTTCAGAGGGTTGAGAATGAGACACGGTCGCTGGGACAAGAGCCTTATTCGCCTGACGTTTCAGATCCCTGCTCAAACCCGTCATCAGGGACAATAGCAGATATGGGTGTTTCATGCACAAGGGGTTGCAGTATTTAAAGGATTCAGTCGCCCTGCTACCACATACCTATGAATAATCACGGCTACCCCCTTCAGCGGGGATTGTTGCACTTGGTGTGATGACTGTTTGATGACCGACATTAGAGCAGTTAATCCCTTCCTAGTCATCAGAGATGTTGGATATTGGTGTGATGATTGCTCGACAGTCTGACCCACCGACCCTGGTATTGGGACCTTTATCTGCGAATGTCTCTGATTATGGATCCGAGTGCGAATCTGAAACCTCAGGCCAATAAATTTCTTGTTCCAATGATCGCATCTTCGTCTTCTCAATTGGGAACAGTGCTCGCCCGCGCATTCCCCGCGTGGTTAATTATTCCGCCTAGGAAAAGTCTTAGCATGGAGTATGGAAGGGGAGGGTTTTTGCACTTGTTAATAGACTGGTGTCAGTGAACTATGACTCAAGCAGCTCGCAGGTCATGCGGTTGTCGCCTCTGGCGAGAATTTTGGCTTCGTCGAATGTGAGTGTGTGGCCAGGTCTCGTCGAACTAGTCGCAACTTTACAGCTGGCGTCATTTCTCTACACTGCTGCTGCGTGTTTGAGGACTAGCGTTAGGAGCAGTCAACCTGTCTCTTCGACGTAAACTGTTTCGAACGCGAGTGCCCGAACACGCGACAGCAGTGCGGTGAAATAACGCCCAGAAGCTGAAGGGCCTGGGCTTGTTCAGGAGATTCTTGTTTCATCTTATTTGATTTGCAGAAGCGGCTCGATGGTCTCTATCGCCAGATTCTGAGGAATAGAAATAAAAAGGGACGTGACATCAAAAGATGCCATGACCTAATTTGGATGGAGGCTTACCCCTTTAAGTTTCTCCAGTAATCGTGTCGACGAAGAGACCGCGGTGTCTGACTCGGCGGTCAGGAAGATGAGACCCCGAAACCGCCACTTTGCTGGTCCCTACTTTGGAATACCTTTGAGTCGGAGAGGAACGCTCTGTTTGCGCACCTTAGGGGGTAATAGAATCGGGCCAGCGCTAGGGTCGGTGGGTCAGACATTCGAACAATCATCACACCAACATCCAATACCCGTGATTAAATTGTAACGATTAGCGACTCCAATGTCGGCCATCAAACAGTCATCACACCAAGCGCAGCGATCCCTGATAAATGGAGAGAGCCTTGAATATTCATAGGTATGCGGTAGCTTGGCGACTGCATCCTATAAATATTGCAGCTCTTTGTGCATGAACCACCCGTATCTGCTACTATCTCTGATGATGTGTTCCAACAGGAATCTGAAACGTCAGGCGAATAAAACTCTTGTCCCAGCGATCATGCCCCTTCACGACTGCTTCCTTGGACCCGTCTCTTCAATTCTATTAGCAGTTAGGGTTAAGGCTAGGTTTAGGGCAGAGTATGGATATGGCTAGGGTTAAGGCTTGGGTTAAAATTAGGGTTACGGCGCGGGAATAGGCGCCTCTCCTGAAACTAGGCGTAAGACTACCTGCATTTTGGAGAGGGGCTCCTATTTCCAAGTTTTGCTGACAATATATTTGGAATTTTTCAACTTCGTCAGTTTGTTTATCCCCGTGAGACAAACAGGTTCAGTGTCGGGGGCTATTCCAGTTACCAAATCTTTTTTCTTAACTCGTATCCATAATCACTTTTATCCGGGAGGAATTTTTCACTCCACTTCTACTGCGCTTCCAACGGTATCCCACATGGAGTAAAGCGAAGCAGTAGGATGTGTTCGATAATCTCAATCTTTTTGCTTCAAAATAGGTCGTTGGCTCACCGGGAATCGGATGAACCTAATGAACCAGAAAGAGCTCCGTTCTCTGAAATGATTATTTTGATATTATGTGCAAACTGCAGTAATTAGATCTTGTTTTCTAAGCACATAGCAGTCAAGAAGTTGAATGGAATGCTGTGATCGCACGACCGTATTCATCAGTGGGCCAAAAATCCTTCACTAATCCGAACGGCTTCTCTTGATCTGGACAACGTTAAAATTACACGAGTAAAGTGACCAGTCACCCGGATAACGCGTGAATTAACATCACTCCGGGCAGCAATTCTAAAAAGCCGGACTGTCAAGGCATCGTTATACTAGCCGCCAAATGGACAGTGATATGGCGACGGACGGTGAGTCAGTTATGGACGGCCAACCATTACACTGGACGCTGCATATCTCTCTCTATCTCTCGCTCCTCGGTGATGCGTTCAAGTATGAACCTGAAAGGCCAGAACAAACTAAAACCTTGTCCTAGTAACCGGCACTGTTTTTCAAACTCTGAAGCGAGTCACGCTTGCAAAACTGCCGGGTCAGTTCTGTTTTGTCTATTCGCAATACTTGGCAATAGCATTAGTGGTTATCTGCCGCCTCTCAAAGGGCGAATTTTTAATCCAAATGTACACCTATGTGTTGTTGGTTGGCCTTATTCCTTTTGCAAACGAAGTCCGTTTTTCGCAGCTTCCAAGGGGATGATGATAGTTTACCCAGAAATACATGCTTTGCGTAGCATCCTCTGAAATCCATAAATCGATCGGCATAATTTGATCAGGTGCACGGGGCCCGCGACACGAATTTGGTTGCCAACCAGCAGGCTCATCCCTTGTTAGCAGCAAAATCCACCACTTCCCAAGCAATAGTGATCTGCGCGTCAAATGGATTATCGTGAGAATGGTTTGAGCGGCCTCTGGCGATACAATGCAGACCTCGCAGTTGGTCCTGTCCAGATTGGCAAAGTTGAGATATCCGGGTTGATTAATTGAAGACGAAGACAGGCTCACCGGAAGAGGTTTATTTAAGTGCTGACGTTTCAAAGAGCTGGGTAGGCTCTTCATTGTCAAAGCGTAAAATGCACTTAATCGATCAGAAATTTAATTTGAAGTGGCAGTCGTGTTGGCCGGCCTCATGCTGATCGACTTTTCCCTCCATCTTAGGCCGAGGCAACACAAAAACAGAACGGCTAACTCTCGGGGCGTGGTTCTCCGATGCCCACTTTATAAACAGGCATCTGGACCTTCCTGCAGCTTACAAAGTCCTACGTCATCACAATCGTAAAGCTCAGGACCAAACAACCACACCGAACTTAAGAAGGCCGCACGGAGATAGCCCGACGCTGAGTCTACTCGGTGAGGAAGAAGGAGAACCGCCAGACCAACCGCCCGACTAAAGTCCAATCACTTCCCCTCGACGGAGTGGTGACTCACAAAGCACACAGGCAAAACGCCCGTCAACCATCTCCCGAGAGGCCGAGGCAGCGAGAGGAGGGAAAAATCGATCAGCATGAGGCCGGCCAACACGACTGCCACTTCAAATTAAATTTCTGATCGATTAAGTGCATTTTACGCTTTGACAATGAAGAGCCGACCCAGCTCTTTGAAAGGTCAGCACTTAAATAAACCTCTTCCGGAGAGCCTGTCTTCGTCTTCAGTTGGTCCTGTGTGCTTGTTTGTTCGGAATGGCCGACTGGCGGTCAAGCTCAGTGGCGCCTGCTTAATGTGGCCTCTCATACCAGCCACTGTGCCCTGTCTCCCCCCTCCCCCCGGTCCCCACAGTGAACTGATGCCTGGGCGGGGTTGACTCTGGGGCCTTCATCCCAACTCCGGTCTTCTTGCCTCTGTCTTTGACACCAGGTTCAGGTGAATGAGGGCGGAGAGAGTGCGGTAAATGCTGCGCAAGTCGGCTGTCACTAGAAACTAGTTCCCGTGTAAACCACCGTCCGTGCGTCCACTTTGCTGTGAAACACACGTGCTGAACATCATCGGTAACGACTGTTGAACTGTCAGCAGCAGCAGCAGCAGCAGCAGCAGCAGCAGCAGCAGCAGCAGCAGCAGCAGCAGCAGCAGCAGCAGCAGCAGCAGCAGCAGCAGCAGCAGCAGCAGCAGCAGCAGCAGCAGCAGCAGCAGCAGCAGCAGCAGCAGCAGCAGCAGCAGCAGCAGCAGCAACAGCAGCAGCAGCAGCAGCAGCAGCAGCAGCAGCAGCAGCAGCAACAGCAGCAGCAGCAGCAGCAGTAGCACCAGTAGGTGTGCGGACGCACTCTTGACGGCACTATCTGCATTTCCGAATTTATCGACCCTGCTCTAGGGAGAAATTACTCATTATCAAGAAGCATTTTTGAAAAAGCTCGGTGGGACTGGAATTCCATGCCAGAACTGGAGCTACTAGAGCTCTTGTTGCTTTTTAATTTCCTCAGAAATTAATCGGTAACTTGGAGTAAATCAGTCTAAACTAGGGTCTATACTGTTTATTCGGGCGGCAATGACAGATGTCACCAGCGTAGAGGGCGCACAATTATCAGCTGACCATCGATCGATAGTCATTCGCGCCGGCTGCATACTGAAGACACAACCGCAGTGCACACATCCACGCCGGCAGTCGTTGCGGTGACTGGACTGATTCACGAGGACGGCTGTTATGACTCAGCGCGCGCTTAAAGTCATCTGGACACAACGTGCACTCCGACGCAGGCCAAGCCTTCGAGCTAGCGAGTGGGTAGGGGTGCGGGTAGGCACGCGGGCGAGGGGGCGGCGGTATATCAGACAGAGGGCGGTATGAAGGGAGTGGAGCGTTGGCTCCCATAGAAATGAAGCCAACTATCACTGGCCGAAAAGAGCAGGTGTTCTCCGTTGGTTCGCCGGGTCTAGGCTTAAGAATGATGTACTGGTGGGTTTTCCAATATCTATGACCAAAGAGGACAAAGAACTCTGAACGCCTCCAAATGAGAACGTGGTCTACGCAAATGCGATAGCCCAAATTCCACCTTCATCTAAATCGGATACCTAATACAGGACTTTCTATTGTGGCCGATTTAATTGCATATAGACTTCGTAATCCAACAAGTGAAGTTTATAGTTTCATCCGAAACTGATATGCAAACTTCGAGTGACTTTTGGGGCACGATTTTTGAGCTCGATCGCGAAATTTACGCAAATGTTTCAGCACGATAACCGCGTCACACCAACACCTACAAAGTTAACAGCCGTAGCACGCTCGATGTCTTACCTGTACTCTGGACAGAGTACCAACAGTCATTTGAATGTTGCGTTTGATGGTAGCATTTTATGAGATCTAGACGAATACTGCGACAAAAGCATTTACTCGACGGATGTCCCGTCAGAACACCACGTTTGTCAACAGTAAAACGCGACCCCTTTAACACATGGGCGGACACTATGATGGCTGAATCATGAGTGGTCAAAAGAAACCAGGTGATCGTACCAGGGCGACAGCGGACTTCAGAACTGACAGCATTCGGCCCGTCGCCGTTGCTCCCACGACCAAAGAGCGAAGACGACGTGCGCGCAAAGGCATGTGCGTGTCCGCCCCCGCCGGAGAACGTCATCCTGCGTGAGGGCTGGCTGTCACTCTTCATTCGAATTATCATTGGTTAACTGGTTAGCCAATGAGAGTGAGGCAAATCAGCCGGCTCCAGCGGACACAGGGTTGACTAGCGCGTCAGATACGGGCTGACCG